TCCTGGTCTCTGTCAGTTTTTGGAAATGCCCAGAGCTCCTGCCACTTTGCACAAGCACCGCAGTGCAGTCTCTCCCACGCTGTGTGACTCCAGCTCGTTTTGTGCCAGCCAGCAGCTTTCTTTACTAGAAGCCACTTGATGCAATTTTGATGGAATAATTTTATTCCTTTAGGGAAGAATTGAAACACCCCAAACACAAAGCTGAAATGCACGCTAGTAGCACAGAAACACAAACTGGTTCCCAGGAACGTTTCTGACAGAGCAGCAGCCTGCTGGGCGCGTTGCTGAAAGCCTCGCTTGCCCTCTGTTGGGTGGCTGGGGAAGGATTTACCTCCTGGGTGATAAGTGCCACTCACTGGACCTTGTGCCAGAGGGATGAAAAGTGATGGAGGCATTGAAACCAGAGCAGTCCTTGCTTGTTAGCCTCTCCAACCATCTGACTGGAAGGTGACATTCAATGAAATTAAAGGCAGCAATTTATTTAGAGCCAAGCAAATTAATAAGCAGGAGAGGGTCATGTTTTATGCAGCATGTAATGCAGACAACCGGTGGAGTTCCCGTCCACGAAGGGGTCACTGAAGCAAATGCAGTGTGTAGGTGGGAAGGAAGGGACGGCTGTTTTAATGCCCGCTAGCAGGCTATGCAAGCTGAAGTGACAAACATAATCAAATCTCATGCTTCAGGGCATAAATTGGAGGGGTTGAGTAGTGGAAGCAGTTATGTATATCAAAGGTCTGATCCTGAGAGGTGCTGATTACCTGCAATTCTCACCAAGTTCAGCCAGCTAAAGGACAGTCAGGAATTGCTCGACTTCTCCGCTGGCTGAGTCTGTACTTGCTAATTTTCCTTATTAATAAACCCTGTAATATTTTAGCCTGCTGGCACAAACATTCATTTCGCTACAGTAACATTTATTTCCTTACCCACAAGAGTCAAACATTAAAGCTGCTTCTAAAATAAGATTTTTATGGAGATAATTTGTGGTGGTGCTGGCAGAGAATTTGTCTCTCAAAATACGCTATAATTCTTTATCTAGTGAAGGTACTAGTATAGCCTCATTATGAGAATATGTGAGCACTCCATAACCTTTGGGGGATTTTTCTTCCCAGATACCTTCCCGAGCAGCGGAACTGGTGCTAACACCGCTCTACAGGTGGGGAGCTGCTCCACGAGGCAGGCTGGGGGCTTCCCTGCATCTTTTGGGGTACCTAAAATGGACCCAGCTGCCCACTTTGACTGGGAGCGCGTGGCTCCCCAGGCATGCGGTGCATGGCACGAGGTGTGACATTTCCCATCTGCACGAAGAGGGGGGCTGATCGCAGCCCCCCGCCCTTGCCATCGAGAGAGCAGGGGCAGAGAGGTCAGGCAGGATGACTCCAGCCTTCAGGGACCTGCCCATGACAAACAAAGGAAATCTCTGCTTTCATCTGAAATCCAGCTAAGGGGGAAATTCCGCATCTTTCCTCTGTAATTTGAGAGCTAGGCAGGCTAATTACCTCCTAGGAATGGCTTAGGTAGGGCCGATCCTGTTTGGGTGTAAAGCAGTCTGGATGGCTTCCAGAAGTCTCTTCCCATCCTGTCTGCAGTGGTCACCTCAGAGAAAATGATATTCTTTATCCTAATACATTTCTGTAGCTAAGCACCAAATATTTAATTCCATAATTCATGCCAGCGGGAAATTGCCCTGTGGGTCCTGGCCCATCCAAAGCCCGTAGGTCTGCAGTGCTGGGCCAGGAGTGGCTGAGGACAGTCACCGTGAAATTAAGAACAGCTTAAACGAGCAAACTCACTTTTTTTTCATGTTCTGTAGCAGCTCCTGCTGCTTCTACTGCCTCCATAATCCCTATCTCTTGCTTTCCCTCCCCGGCCGTAAATTTGCTGCCTTTTGCACTAGACAAATCAGATCTGCTGTGCTAAATATTTTAAATGTGGCAAACGATCCTTCATCGCAGAGCGGCATGATTGCATTACAATGTCTTAGAGCAACATGACTTTGCCAGAGGGTGTTTGTTGGCACCTTGCCGAGTGAAGGAGGCAGCCCGAGTTGGAGAAGTAACTATCGAGTCATTTATCAACGTTCAGTCCTAAAACACATGGGGTTGCACCAGCTTGAGCAGCCTTAGAGAAAGAAATCTGGAGGCTGAGCCAGAAACCCTGAATACAGACAAACCTTTGAGGGAGCTTATCAGAATACAGAGCCCTATCGAAATATGAAGCTGAGCTCCAGCGACAGATTCAACACATGCTTTTGGCATTTATTCTGTTGCATTTTGTCTCCCCTTTCAGGTTCAGATGAAATTCATGCTGCTTTTCAGTCTCTCAGCCAGCCTGTGGAAAGGGCTGATTTGATCTTGCACTACTGTAGCAGAATGGAAGATTTCAGCCCAACCAAGTGGAACTGCAGGAAGCCAACACATGGTGTCTAGAGCTTGTTTTCCTTCATAATATCCTCATAGGATGGAGGCAACTCGGTTCCTCCAAGGCTGAACCGTGGGGTGGGAGAAGAAGACACGTCTGCAGCCATGCAGGGGTGTGGAGATCTGGAGAAGGGGCACTGAGGCGCTTCGTTTGCTGGAAAAAAAGCAAACCCATAACTGTAGAGCAGACCGGTGTGAAGAGTGAGCAGAGGGTGAGTCTGGGAGGAGCTGTCAAACCGCTTGGAAACAAGAAAGACATGGATGTAATTTTTGAAGCATGGCATCACAAAGCCTTTTGCCACAAACTCCAGATGCAAGAGGTGAGAAGAGAGGAATTTGGGTGGGTTTAGGTGGGTCCTCCCTATGGAGACACTGTTCGTGGCCACCCAGCAAGCAGGCAATACCTCCTCTGGGAAGGGCTTGGGCTGAGGACAGAATTAGCTTTATTCTGGGAGGGACTGCTGCCTGGCCCAGCCTGCTGATGCCACTGGCAATACTCCAGGTCAGTGCTGGTGCTGCACACACTCTTTATAGCCCAGTCCTCAAGTCTCATGCTCCTGGGTGAACGCTGAGGGCAGCTACCGCAATGACCAGCACCCACCAAGATGACTTTTGATAGACCCTGGGGTGTATCAGCCAGTCCAGCTGCCCGCTGGGATGGCTCAAGCAGACTGGTGTGGTCTTGCCTGAGTGAGGAATTCAGGTCGTGTGTTGGAAAGGGCTGCCTGACCCCAGGCAGTGCCCGTGGGGGCAGCTGAGTGCCCCAGCACCAAGGAGAAGATCCCACACATCTCCAGTGTTAGCACGGCCAAGCCCTGACCAGGCACCTTTGGGAGACATGGACATGGGGACAGCACTGCTGAAGGCACGGCTGGGGACAAGTGGATGTCCTGTCCATGATCAGAACATCTCCCCAGGATGCCTGAGCTGGGCACCACTCTGTTCACCAGAAACACAGCACCTGGCTGCAGCCCAGCTCCCAGTCAAGCCTCTTACTGGGCTATGGGTGGGCTCCGGGAAGTTTGCTGGGGCCAGCGGGACCTTGCAGCGGATAGGGAGAGGACTAACCGCAAAAGGCATCCGAGCCGCTGAGCGCAAAGACGGCCAGGGTGCGATGATGGCGCGGGCAGCTCCGTCCTTTCAGCCAACACTGCAGGCAGCAGCAGATCCCACAGGACAGGAGCAGGGCCAGGAAAAACAACATGGGGAACCTGAGGCAGAGGCAGCGAGGGAGGAACAGTACCATCACCATCTGCGGGCAGCACCGACAGATGGCTGCATGTCTTCAAATTATCATATGCATTAAGAGCTTTTTTGCAAATAGCCGTTAAATGCTGCGTTTTCCCCATCAGCGTGCTGGACCTGATCAAAGTCCCCGGAAAGCAATGTCTCAGTGCTGAGTGCTGGCTGGAAATTCAAACATTTCTCCCCAAAATCATTCATTGCTTTTTGCCCAGTGCAGTTGTCAGCGTACAGTGAGGAGGATATGGATAAATGATTCCCATTAGTCAGTAAAGACAGAGCACAGGGACAGCCCAGGAGCAATCCTCTCTAGCTATCAGTCTCTCTTAATGCCTTTCTCTCTGTATATCCATCAAAGAATATTATTTGATAGTTTTTCCCTCTAAAACAGATCTGAAACTTACCACACATACCAGCTGCTAAAGTTTTCATCGCTCTGCCCAATGCATCTAACAAGGGAAAAATAAAAGGAGCTTTCAGTCCAGCATGAGGGGACCATACCGGCTCCCAACGCATGTCTGCCAACATGAAAAAAAGCATCACTGGTAAGCAGAGGATTGAGAAGTTTTCCTCCACCATGGGAACTGTATTTGAAGTTTCTGTAGACGGGAGCAGATGCAGATGATGTACGAAGCAGCGTGCAACCGGTTTGCCTTTGAACACCGACATCTGCCACCAGCACTTTTGCTGAAAACCCAAAGGGTTGCCAGCTTCCCTTTCCTTTTTTTGGAAGAAATTCCTAATTCCTCTTCCGTGCCAGTGTGCCCAGCAGGAGCACAGCATCCCTGAGAGAGCCCGGGGTGGGAGCAGCCGCGGGTGGGAAACCAGAGAGAGCCACACTCACCTCTCGCCCAGCTCACAGTCCGACCCAGCGTCTGCCAGCTGAAAACACACACATCAATCAGAGAGGACAGTTATGTGCTTTTTTTTATATATAATTTACCAGTGTAATTACTGATCTTAGAGAGAGAAGCCGGAGAAGAACCGTACAGGTGCTGGCTCCTGCAGGGATGAAAACCAGACTTCTCCCAGAGACCAAGAGCAGGGCTGAGCTCCTGCCTCAGCATCTCTGGTCTGAGCTCACCCGTATCCATACCGGGGGGCAACCTCGCAGACAGCTCGATAAATTCAATAGTTTAGAGATGAAAGCCAGGCCGAGGGGAAAGCATTTCTTTCAAAAAAAAAAAAAAAGAGGGAAGGACAAGAGCAGGGACACACAAGCAGGTATCGGAGCCCTGTTCACACAGCTGGGCTTTGCTATTCAGAAATGTCTGCTCAGAATGCCCCCTGACCAAATGCTTGATCTGTAGCTCATTTTCCAGCAGCTAATTGTGAAGGTAGCTGTAAATTGGAGCTGTTTTGACCAGTCGTGTTCTCTAGGCAGCAGTTTCCTGGTTTTGGATAGCAGTGGTGCATCACTCCCAGAGTCAGGTTTCAGGTGTTGCAAGTATGTGAGCTTGAAACTTGTTTTTCGGGTCTATTTTCTACTTTCGCTCAAGCAAGTTTATTTTTTCAAGCCTTGTTGAGCTTAGCCTCAGTTTCAAATTATCTGGGCAAAAAGTAACCAG